GGGAAGGAGAAAAGCATGGTCCACACACATCGGAGAGCTGACGTATCTGTATGCACTTGGATTGTAGTGCGGATTTTATTGAGTTTGAAATAGTGTCTTCTTTAACCTTCACGATGACCTCAGGAAGTGATTATAGGTGTCATTATACCCACAGAGAAATGAGGAAACACGAAGGCTCGAGAGGCTAGGCCATGTCCACACCTGGTGTCAAATCCCAACATCTTAATGAGGTTTTGTGTAGAGACCACTTACTAATCGATCAATTAAGTGAACCCCTATGATAGGCTCTGTAACAGCTTTTCCTCTCATTATTTCCCTATCAAAATTGCCATTTCATCGCTGTGGAAATGGACATTGAGAGCCTGGGCACCTTAGCTGCTCAGCTACTAGGAGATGAAGCCCCAAACCTCACCTGGGCTCGGTGGTGGCTACAGTCGGTGTTCATTTCTACCCCGTGACTCTATGGAGTTGTCGAGATTCATGCACCCACTGGTTTGGAAATGCCTTTGGTGCCACTGTCCACAGCGTCAGTGACACACAGATAAAGACCCTCGTGGAGCATCTCATTCAAAACTAGGCTGACTGACTGCTTTTTCCCTGTCTGCACTCTAATAAGTGATTGGTTGACCTTTCTTGTTAGGCTTCCAGAAAAGTCATAGCCCAATTTGGGACCCAGACATTATGCACACTAGGGATCCTACATGTTCCCCCAAGCAATTTTGTTAATTCTTGAATATTCTCTACAGCTCAGCCAATAGTTATTCATTCCCAGGCTGACTTGCAGATTCAGTTCTCGGTAAGACCCCAGGAAAGCTCTGTGATTTCCACACTTGGCTTTTCATCGCCTGTTACTCACCAGCAGCTTCTTTTACCATATAGTAGGGGATCGGTGTGGGACTGCTAGCCATCCGGTCCCATTGTTTGTAGAGCTACTGAGTCCTGGGACTTCTCAAGTTCCCCAGACACTGAGCCAGCTAGCGTATCCCCTCAGCTGGAATGCCAGCCCAGTGCAACTCCAGCGAGAGCTTTCACAGTTGGACCCCTGCCCTGCAGCAGGGGCTGTGCGATCTTCGCCTTCCGCCAGGGATGGGGTCTCCTTGCCATCACAGGTTGGGAGTGATTCAGCTCCAATTCCCATCTTCTGCCTGCTTTCCTAGACCACTCCCAGTTCTTAGATGCAAATGTTTCATCACTCACCCGTCTTTCCACCCTCCTTCCTTTCTTTTTTCACTGCCTTGGCCCAGGAATTTCAAGGCAGCTAATGAAAATAACTAGCTTTGTAATAACAAAGTTGATAGATTAAAAATCAAGGAAAAGGCAGATTAATATAGCAAGAGGTAAAGTTAGTGCAGTACAGGCTGCATGGTGAGAATGTACAATTGGAGCTGAGCTTCCTAGCAGCCAAGTAAATAGGAATACATGCTTAGTCCCATGAATAACATTGTCCATAATATCAAAAACCTACTCTCAAGAGAAGACTTCCAGAGGGGTTTATCAGTCCCCTTCACAGAAGTTTCCGTTCTATGTGTAAAAATAACTGTCTTCCTACACCCCTGCCACCTTTCTGCTTTGAGAGGCCATACTGGTCGGTGGCTAAAAAATACAACCCCTGGAGCCAAAACATTAATTCACCCTTTACTTCACCTCTCTGAGCCTGCTTTCTTATCTATAAAATGGGCATTTTCTAGATAACCATCCATAACTCTTTATAGTGCTTATGAAGATGGGCATATTAATTGGATATACTTTGTAAGGTGGTCATGAAGTCAATCAAATCAAATCCATTAGATTTTATAAAGCGCTCAGAGCAATGCCTAACACAGAGGAAGGCTAACACCGGTGTCTGCATTTTTCCTTCAGGTCCATCGCCTCTCCCCCTTGCTTTTTCCCCTCCCTCCCTTACTTTCCCAGTTATTTTATATTAAAAGAGTTTTAAGGTAGAGTGCATAGCCATATGAAATGAGGTATTATTAATTAGAAGTAGGAGGAATGCGGCATAGAATGGAGCCTTCCCCGAGACTAATGGCTTAGAAAAGACCACAGGCCCTGCCTATGGGCAGGTGAGCTGGGGCTTCAGTGACCTTTGACTCTCCTTGTCCGCAAAGAGCCGTTCCTTGACCCAGCAATTTCCATTCTATGGGTATGTCCTAAAGAAAGCATTGGACAACTGCAGGAATCTGTATACGTATAAGGAGATGGTCATCACGGTGCCCACGAACGGGCAACCACCCTCCCAGTTACCCCTGAGTGAGAACAGCACAGTGCGGTGGGGGACTGAAGGCGGGCGTGGAGGTGGACATTCGGGGACATGAGACATGTTCACGACATAACGTTATGTTAGAAGACAGACAACTTTAAGACACACAAACATGTTAAAACACTAGCAAGATACCAAAATAAAAATAAAAATAAACAAAACACTAGCAAATAATGATAACATAAATGTTGGAAAAAGCCTTAGACAAGGAAGAGGACATGTCAGTAATGGTCACATTGACACTGGATGGTCGGCCATGTTCACACTCCTGGTGTCTTTTCCTACAGGCTACTGTTTGTAACCATATGCACGCATTGGGTTTTTTTTTTAATACTTATTTTTGATTTGCACAAGTAATACATGAATAAATGCTCATTTAAACATGGAAGCAGCACATGAATATAGAGTAAAATGTTTCTGCTTCCTCCCACACTCCCACTTCCCTTGCTACTTTCTTCCACAGCAGATAAGGCAACTAACAGTTCAAGATGTGCTCTCCAGGTTTATTCTGTGCATTTACAAAAAAAAAAAAAAAATGTAAGGTCTTTTCAAGAATGAATGAATTATACTATCCCTTCTGTCCTCTGACTTGCTTTACATTATGGAGATTTTTCCATGTGAATGCATGAATCTATCTCACTTTCTTTAAGCTTTTACCTCTTAAAATATGGATATACTGTTCTCTTGTTAAAGTATCATTCGATTGTGTTTAATATTTTGATATTGCCATGACCAATGGGTGCCTTCTACATTAACTTTTAAGTAAGTCCAAGAGTTTTTAATCATTATTATTATTATTATTGTTATTATTATTAGAATAGCTGAGTGAATCACTGGGTCAAAGGATGTGTGCATGGTAAATGTGTGTGCTTGTGTGTCAGATTTTTAACTTAGTCCAAACCATCCTCTGTCATCATGAGATTACCCATTTTTAACAAGTTTCTTAACCTGTTAAGTTTCTTAAACCCTGAAAATCATCAATTTAATAAATTTGTTCAAATAATGGACCACATAACTTGCTTTAAAATAATAAATGAAAACAATCAAAAATGGCATATTGAATTTGGGAGTAAGAAATACATACTTAAACCCTCCTTTCGCCACTGATCCCTACTGCTTCTCCATCCTTCCCCAGCTCTACTCCCACAGTTTTGTTCCTGGGGGTGAACCAGATGTCCCACCAGAGAGGCGACAAGATTGTCCTGTCTTGGCAGGTGACAGCTGTGATACTGATGCTAACTTCTGTTTTTCTTCTACAGTCTTTAGATGAGTCTTGGTGCTCTTGAAGGGACAGAATTTATACGATTCATCAGCTGCCTTCAAAATATATCCTTTCCGTGATCATTCTGACCAATAAAGATGTTGACCATTTATCTGTCTTCCACATGGATGAGTCCGTTTCTTGAAAAAAGTCACAGCCGCGCTCAATGGCGATCAATGCAATGCCGACCTTGGTGGGGTGAAAACCAATAGGGCGTTTGAGGGGAAGAACTTGAATTTAAATCAGAACCCTGATGAATTGCTGACAGTATAATCTTTGGTAAATTAACTAAATTCCCAGAGAAACTCGTACAATCATGTATTACATCCTACAATTTTTAAAGTATGATATAAACTAAAAATTCAGGATATGCAATTAGCCATTTTATAGTGAACAATTCAGTGGTATTGAGCGCATTCACAATGTTGTACAATCACCACCTCTACTTGATTCCAGAACATTCTCGTCATCCCAGATGGAAACCCTGTCTCCTTTAAGCCATCACTCCCCAATCCCTCATCCTCCCTGCCCCTGGAAACCACTAATATTCTTCCTGTCTCTATGGATTGGCCTGTTCTGTATGTTTCCTGTAAATGGAATCACACAATGTGACCTTTCATGTCTGGCTCTTTCACTTAACGCCATGTTTATAAGTTTCATCCACATGGTAGCATGGATCATTATCTTCTTTCTTTTTATGGCCAAGTAATATTCCATGCTGTGGATATACTAATTTTGTTTATCCATTAATATGTATACATCATGAAGCACATATGTCATGTGTGTAGAGCTAGGCAAATTTTCACAAACTAAACTCTCCGTGTACCTGAAAACCATATTAAGAAACAGATCATGTCTAACTCTGCTCCATGCCCCCTTCCGGGTCCTTAACCGAGGGTAGCCTCTAGCCTCATTTCTGACAGCATAAATTAGCTCTGTGTCTTTTCATATTTCATATAAATACCCTTGTGTCTGGCTTCTGTCACTTAGTATTATGTGCATCAGATTCATCCACATTATTGGGTGTAGATGGAGACCCTTCTTTCATGGTGCTGCATGATTTTCCTCTGTGTGAATGCACAGCAAGTGATGTATCCATGGTACGCTTGATAATCATTAGGGTGGTCTTCATCTGGGAACATTACAGGCAGCAACGTTCTAGTACATGTCTCTGGTGAAGGTAGGTACTAAGGATTGCTGAGTCCACAGGCTGTAATACATCCACATTTAGTAGTTGCTGGCAAACCCTTGGACCCTGGAACAAAGCAGGTGACTCAGGATTTAGCATATCAACCTGTGCCCCTGGGCCTGGACCCGTGACCCAGTCAAAGTCATGATTCTTCTACCTGGTGGTGGAGGTGAGGGAAGACTTTCCTGTGGCTTAGCTAAACTGTTGGGAGGTCAAATGGAGATGCTTACACCTCATTTCCCACCGTGACGTGAAAGCCACGTGCAGCAGGAGAGAATGAAGTGGACAGATCTTCCTCCAGCTCTCTGGAATTCAGTTCACCTTTCCTTTGCGTATTAGAGCCAATAAAGTCTCCCTTCCTGCTCAAGCTAATTCTGTGAGTTACATCCGAGATGTCTCATTCCCAGCCTTCTTAGTCCAAGAATAAGGAGATGCATTCTGAGAAAGCAGGCTCACACCTGCAATTTTCCTTCAGGTCCATCGCCTCTCCCCCTTGCTTTTTCCCCTCCCTCCCTTACTTTCCCAGTTATTTTATATTAAAAGAGTTTTAAGGTAGAGTGCATAGCCATATGAAATGAGGTATTATTAATTAGAAGTAGGAGGAATGCGGCATAGAATGGAGCCTTCCCCGAGACTAATGGCTTAGAAAAGACCACAGGCCCTGCCTATGGGCAGGTGAGCTGGGGCTTCGGTGACCTTTGACTCTCCTTGTCCGCAAAGAGCCGTTCCTTGACCCAGCAATTTCCATTCTATGGGTATGTCCTAAAGAAAGCATTGGACAACTGCAGGAATCTGTATACGTATAAGGAGATGGTCATCACGGTGCCCACGAATGGGCAACCCCCACTCCCAGTTACCCCTGAGTGAGAACAGCACAGTGCGGTGGGGGACTGAAGGCGGGCGTGGAGGTGGACATTCGGGGACATGAGACATGTTCACGACATAACGTTATGTTAGAAGACAGACAACTTTAAGACACACAAACATGTTAAAACACTAGCAAGATACCAAAATAAAAATAAAAATAAACAAAACACTAGCAAATAATGATAACATCAATGTTGGAAAAAGCCTTAGACAAGGAAGAGGACATGTCAGTAATGGTCACATTGACACTGGATGGTCGGCCATGTTCACACTCCTGGTGTCTTTTCCTACAGGCTACTGTTTGTAACCATATGCACGCATTGGGTTTTTTTTTTAATACTTATTTTTGATTTGCACAAGTAATACATGAATAAATGCTCATTTAAACATGGAAGCAGCACATGAATATAGAGTAAAATGTTTCTGCTTCCTCCCACACTCCCACTTCCCTTGCTACTTTCTTCCACAGCAGATAAGGCAACTAACAGTTCAAGATGTGCTCTCCAGGTTTATTCTGTGCATTTACAAAAAAAAAAAAAAAATGTAAGGTCTTTTCAAGAATGAATGAATTATACTATCCCTTCTGTCCTCTGACTTGCTTTACATTATGGAGATTTTTCCATGTGAATGCATGAATCTATCTCACTTTCTTTAAGCTTTTACCTCTTAAAATATGGATATACTGTTCTCTTGTTAAAGTATCATTCGATTGTGTTTAATATTTTGATATTGCCATGACCAATGGGTGCCTTCTACATTAACTTTTAAGTAAGTCCAAGAGTTTTTAATCATTATTATTATTATTATTGTTATTATTATTAGAATAGCTGAGTGAATCACTGGGTCAAAGGATGTGTGCATGGCAAATGTGTGTGCTTGTGTGTCAGATTTTTAACTTAGTCCAAACCATCCTCTGTCATCATGAGATTACCCATTTTTAACAAGTTTCTTAACCTGTTAAGTTTCTTAAACCCTGAAAATCATCAATTTAATAAATTTGTTCAAATAATGGACCACATAACTTGCTTTAAAATAATAAATGAAAACAATCAAAAATGGCATATTGAATTTGGGAGTAAGAAATACATACTTAAACCCTCCTTTCGCCACTGATCCCTACTGCTTCTCCATCCTTCCCCAGCTCTACTCCCACAGTTTTGTTCCTGGGGGTGAACCAGATGTCCCACCAGAGAGGCGACAAGATTGTCCTGTCTTGGCAGGTGACAGCTGTGATACTGATGCTAACTTCTGTTTTTCTTCTACAGTCTTTAGATGAGTCTTGGTGCTCTTGAAGGGACAGAATTTATACGATTCATCAGCTGCCTTCAAAATATATCCTTTCCGTGATCATTCTGACCAATAAAGATGTTGACCATTTATCTGTCTTCCACATGGATGAGTCCCTTTCTTGAAAAAAGTCACAGCCGCGCTCAATGGCGATCAATGCAATGCCGACCTTGGTGGGGTGAAAACCAATAGGGCGTTTGAGGGGAAGAACTTGAATTTAAATCAGAACCCTGATGAATTGCTGACAGTATAATCTTTGGTAAATTAACTAAATTCCCAGAGAAACTCGTACAATCATGTATTACATCCTACAATTTTTAAAGTATGATATAAACTAAAAATTCAGGATATGCAATTAGCCATTTTATAGTGAACAATTCAGTGGTATTGAGCGCATTCACAATGTTGTACAATCACCACCTCTACTTGATTCCAGAACATTCTCGTCATCCCAGATGGAAACCCTGTCTCCTTTAAGCCATCACTCCCCAATCCCTCATCCTCCCTGCCCCTGGAAACCACTAATATTCTTCCTGTCTCTATGGATTGGCCTGTTCTGTATGTTTCCTGTAAATGGAATCACACAATGTGACCTTTCATGTCTGGCTCTTTCACTTAACGCCATGTTTATAAGTTTCATCCACATGGTAGCATGGATCATTATCTTCTTTCTTTTTATGGCCAAGTAATATTCCATGCTGTGGATATACTAATTTTGTTTATCCATTAATATGTATACGTCATGAAGCACATATGTCATGTGTGTAGAGCTAGGCAAATTTTCACAAACTAAACTCTCCGTGTACCTGAAAACCATATTAAGAAACAGATCATGTCTAACTCTGCTCCATGCCCCCTTCCGGGTCCTTAACCGAGGGTAGCCTCTAGCCTCATTTCTGACAGCATAAATTAGCTCTGTGTCTTTTCATATTTCATATAAATACCCTTGTGTCTGGCTTCTGTCACTTAGTATTATGTGCATCAGATTCATCCACATTATTGGGTGTAGATGGAGACCCTTCTTTCATGGTGCTGCATGATTTTCCTCTGTGTGAATGCACCGCAAGTGATGTATCCATGGTACGCTTGATAATCATTAGGGTGGTCTTCATCTGGGAACATTACAGGCAGCAACGTTCTAGTACATGTCTCTGGTGAAGGTAGGTACTAAGGATTGCTGAGTCCACAGGCTGTAATACATCCACATTTAGTAGTTGCTGGCAAACCCTTGGACCCTGGAACAAAGCAGGTGACTCAGGATTTAGCATATCAACCTGTGCCCCTGGGCCTGGACCCGTGACCCAGTCAAAGTCATGATTCTTCTACCTGGTGGTGGAGGTGAGGGAAGACTTTCCTGTGGCTTAGCTAAACTGTTGGGAGGTCAAATGGAGATGCTTACACCTCGTTTCCCACCGTGACGTGAAAGCCACGTGCAGCAGGAGAGAATGAAGTGGACAGATCTTCCTCCAGCTCTCTGGAATTCAGTTCATCTTTCCTTTGCGTATTAGAGCCAATAAAGTCTCCCTTCCTGCTCAAGCTAATTCTGTGAGTTACATCCGAGATGTCTCATTCCCAGCCTTCTTAGTCCAAGAATAAGGAGATGCATTCTGAGAAAGCAGGCTCACACCTGCAGCTGACTCGCTGACTGGGGTCCCAGCCATAGACTCGGGAACAACTCCGGAGCTCGGAGGGCTTGACTGCAGCCCCTTCTGACTCTGGTCCTGCCACGAGCCCCATATGCCAAGAGACCAGGGAGGCGCCCC